AGTCTTTAATTAGAGTTAAAGCTCTTAACGTTTATATATCGCTCGGATTAAATAAGGTCGCATTTTTTAAGCTTTAATTAAATCTTTTTAAGTTAACTTTTATAAAGTTTAACGGCTGCTTACTTTTTATATTAATTGCATTCGTTTTTTTTAAGCGATCTTTTGCAACGTTCTTTATATTAAATAAAGCGTTTTTGGTTTAATTAAAGTTTTTAATATCTTTTAGTTTAATAACGATATTCTTAATTTCGCTAATTAATTAGCCGATCGATTTTTCTTCGTTTTTAAAATAAAATTGAGTCTTATCGAACGTTACGTTGCGTATGACAATTACTTTATAAAGTATAAAAACATAGACCTTATATATATTAAAAGCTATATATTTAATCAAGTAGCTTATATATTTTTTCGGTTTGATTTTAAAAGCTTTTTTGTTGCGAAAAGCTTTTCGGTTTTTAATTATTAAGTACGCACGAGCGTTATACGCAATTAAACCGTTATAATCTAGTCTTAAATCGGTATCGATCCGTATAAAGATCGCTAGATCGTATTATTTAAAGTATTGCTTAAACTAAAGTTATAATACTTTATTCGGACTTTTTATAAAGCTTTTCGCTTTCGGTGTTATATTATAAAAGTAGATAGCGGCTAGTATAGTTTTAAGCTAGAGCTTCTTTAGGAGCCTTGCTTTTACTTTTATTTTAATAGACCGTTTTATCACTTCTTTCTTAGCCTTTTCGGCTTTTTTATTAAGTTCGTAATTAAAAGATAATAAAAGTTTTAATTCGATTTTAACTTTTTTCGCTTATTTTTGATATTCGATAAAGCTGATAACGTTAATTGCGATTATCGAAGAATCGTTGTTATAGAGTATAATAACTATTGAAAGACTGTATTTGCGTTTCGTTTATATTTTAAATTTTTTTAATACTTTTATAACCGTTAATTGCAACTTGTCTTTTAGTATAAAGCCGAATAGCTTTTTATTATATTTATCTTTAATTATTAACAATTATTTGCTTTTGTTAAAACCGTTAAAAAAGTTGAATAAATCTTAAGCGATCTTATAAAATAGCTTAATTGCTTTGTTATTTAACGTACGGCGAGATATGACTTGTTAAGCGTACGTAATAGCATATGCTTTACATTTAATTTTAATAATTCTTTTAAGTCTTATTTCTTTAGCGTTGTAAGCTAGCGCTTCGAGCGTTTTTTTATTTAAATAACTTATTCGTAAATGCTAAAATATCGATAAATCTTTTTTTAAAGCTCGGAAAACATTGCTCTTTTAAAATTTATAACGTGTTTGCAAGCGCTAGGCTGCTCCATGGGGTGGGGGCCCTATGGGGTTTTCCTTCCCATTCCCCTTATAAAGTCTTGGCCGATAGGAGACTTTTTTTTTTAAACCTTATAAGGAGGATTTTTTTAAGTCAAATTCCTTACGAGAGATAGGGAAACCTTATAGGTTTAAAGTAGGACAATTAAAAATAATATATATAAGGCCGTTAAAAATAAAATAAATTTACGAATATTTATTAATTTTACTTAATTATTATATTTATTTATTATATTTATTAATTATATATATTATACTTTACAATTATATTATATTACATAATAATAAATTAAAATTACTAAATAAAACTTTTAGTTATGATTTCCCGCAATTTCTTAATTAACGTTATATTTTTGTTTTAAATCGTTATTCGTTTAACGTAAATAGCATATAAGTTCGTTATTAAAAGTGATTAGTAAATCGATTAGTAAATCGATTAGTAAATCGATTAATAAATAAATATATAAGTACTTACTTTTAAATTCTTTTACGAGGAATGCTTTTAAAGCTTTTTATAAACATTTTAAAGCACTGCTTTAAAATTTAAAGTCTTATTTAAAATCGTAAGTGATTTTTCGAACAAGACGTTAAAAAGAAGTTTTTTTAATAAGAAGCTCGATGCTTTTTTAATATCGTCGAATCTCTTTTAACGCAATAGCTATATAAATTAATAATTGTACTTGAGAATCAATTTATTAATTAATTAAACTTACTTTTTAGCTTATAGCGACGGCGCTTTCGTTAGCTTAAATTTTTTTTTTTCGTAATAATTATAAACTTTTTAAGATACTTGCTTTTTTTAGATTTTTAATAAGAAGAAGTTTTAGCTGCCGAAAGTGATTTGCTAGCTGATAGAACGAAGCGAGCAGCTTTAGCCGTCGAAAATGATTTTTTAGCTTTTTTATATTAAGAAAAAAGAATATTATTTTTATTTAAGTTTTTTTTATTATCGCTTTGCTCTTTTTTATTTGTATTATTATAAAGCATCGTTTTCGTCGCGGTTTTTATAGCTATAATTAAGCCCGGGATAATAAGAGACTTTTTAAAAGCTTTTTGCGCGAAAGCTTTTTTAATGCGATTGCTAATAAAAGCAAAAAAAAGTTTAGCAGCTGCAAAAGAATTGTTTTTAATACTTAAGTCGTAAGACGGATCTTCGTTTTAAAGCTAAGCTAATGCACTCGCTTGGCTTATCGATTATTATATTGCTTTTAAAGCAGTTTTAAAACAATTAACGAACGAAAAAAAAAGGTTTAAAAAAATTAAACTTATTAAAAGCTATTAATACTTATATTAGTATTATTAAGAACGATGCTTTTATTTATTTCGGATTAAATAGCCGGAGTAAATCTGATTGCGTTTGCTAAAGAAAAATTTAATTAATAAATATTTACTAATTATAAATTAAAAATATTATTAAATCGAAGTTTAAAAGATAATAAGTGCTAATTTATATTTATACGAAAGTTTATTAATATTTAAAAAGCGTTATTTAAAATAATAAAAATTAGCAATTATTAATTAATAAAGTAATTAATATTTATTAGCTTGACTTTAAAAAATTCGGCGAAAAAAGGACGAAGATAAATCGGTTCTTTATTATAAACTTATAATACCGCGCGGGATTTCAGGAATTTTTATAAATGCTTATTAGCTATTTGCAATTGATTTATTAATTAATTTATTAATTAAATACTAACCGGATAGCTATCGAGTTATAATAGCGCGGCGCTTAATAAAAGTAAAGTTAAGAATTTTTATAAATGCTTATTAATTATTTGCAATTAATTTACTAATCAATTTATTAATTAAATATTAACCGGATAGCTATCGAGTTATAATAGCGCAGCGCTTAGCAAAAGTAAGGTTTAACGCATCCGTAGCTAATTAAGCTTTGCTAGATTAAAAATAAGGATTTGCGTTAAGCAAAGTAATTAAAAAAGTATTAATAATATTCCGATTAATTAAATATAAATTTACTTTATTTATTTTGTAAATTTAAGTTTTCTTTTTCTACGCTTTCGCCGCGTATTATATCTGCTTCACCTTTTTATATTTCGTTTTCATTTGCTTGACTTTTAGCCGCTTGACTTTTAACCGCCTGACCTTTAGCCGCTTAACCTTTAGCCGCTTAACCTTTAATCGCTTAATTCTTAATTGCTTTATTAATTAATTTATTTTGGCTTGCGTTATTTTTTTTAATTATAATGCTTAGTATATCGGTAAAAAGAAGTCGGTCCGAAAGCAAAAGTTCGTTTAATAAAAAAGCTATTTAAAAGTATTAATAAAAAGACTTAATTGCGATAATTTAGTTTACGATTAATAAATTGATAATTTTAAATAAGAAAAGAACGAGTTTATAAAGCAATAAATAGCGTTGTATTTAAAAGCGTAGCAAATAAGAATGTGACGACACGCCAGGTCTCCTGGACGCACCTCACATGCGCCAAGCTACTTCCCTCCTTTTTCCCTTCGTATTCTTCGTATTCTTCGTATTCTTCGTATTCTTCGTATTCTCTTATTCCCCGCTTTTGACCCATGAACCATGGTTCACGAGTCCTTGGCGCTTTTACCTTCGTATATATAGACCTCAGCTACCTTCGACTTTTATACTCGGTAGTTGTTGATTTTAAGTCATTACTTTGAGATTCTCTTAAGCTCTTATATGAACTTTCGCGCTCTCGTAAGTTCCTTTAGGTAATCGCTTAAGGTCGTCACATTATCAACAACTACCTCACTCCGCCGGGAACGGCCTTAATAATATTCCTTTTCTTTAGAATTCCTTAGTGGTTGGACGTTAAAAAACATTTAGACGATATTAACGGTTACGAAAAGGCTTATTCCAAGTACAACTTGAAGGATAGCACCTATATAACACAGCAACCTTCGCTCCGCGGGCAAAATCCCTTGCACACTTCTTAAAGCTGCTCTAGCAGCTCCCTCCTCTTTTACGGCCCAACCAGCAGTTCCTTTTACTTAAGAAGAAGCTATTAGTAAGCAAGACGATGAAGATGATCTTTCGGCCCTTACTAACCTCGAAGAAGCTTTGGCCTAACACCAAGCTTTCTTTTAGTCTTAACGAGAGGCCGCTAAGCTTAAGAAGCTCTTCGCAGATATGAAAACCCGCAACGAAGAGCTCGATAAAAGCGCTAGCGAATAAAAAACTTTCGCCGAAAGGGCTGAAAAAGAGGCCCGTCGAGCTCGAAAGGAACTGGACCAGCTCTAGGCGGTCTTGCTAACTACGGAACGCCCGTCAAAGCCTTTTTAAGTCTTTTTCGAAGATAATTCTAAAGACAAGGAGCTATATAAGCCTTCGGTCCTTTAGACCATTCCTTTTACTTATAGAACCGCCAACCTTCGCCGCTTTTTCGACGACGACGATGAACTACTTTCTTTTTACAAGCTAACTAATCTCCGCACTCTAGCTAAGTTCAACACCTTTAAAGCTTCTTCTTCAGCTTTTTAAGGTCGCGCTCGTATCGAGCGGATCCTTAACCTTGAACAGAAGCTTTCAGACGGTGTAAGCTACCGAGCACGCTATTAGCAAGCCCGCGTCTTCGACAACTTAGAAGCTTTCGATAAATACTTCTTTACAGAACGCTAGCGCAAGAATTACGTCTTTGACCAAACCGAAGGAACAGCTTACTTGTTTTTAGCCTTTTTAGTCATGGATCGTAGCAACCTCGTAACCGCTTCGGAACTCGTCTAGATCGCTTTCGAGTTTTTGAACGACCTCGTTAAGAAGGCCAAAGCGTCAATTGAGTTCGAAAAACTTTATATAAGGCTTAACTAGCAATTTTAAGACTTTTACTTTATTTTTTCAGAGCTTACCGCTACCGCTGAAATCAAGGACGAAGACCGATTACGTAAGGCTTTGCGTTCCAAGATCATTAAGACGCTGCGCGACCAGCTTTATTTGGAATTTGCTAAGACTACAACTTTTAAGGACTTCTAGACCGCCGTCTAGCAGTTAGCTGCTGGCCAATACGCGTCTGCAAAGCTTTACGACGCTTTATAGGCCAAGTATAATACTTAATTCGCGAAGAGCTTTTATAGTAGAGCTTGTACCGAATCCCGCTCGGCTTAAAGAGCAGCGGTCAAGCAAATCACTTATTACGAGAACCGCTAAAGTAGCTTAATCCCCGTCTCCTTTCCTACCTTTTAGCGCTAAACCTTTAATAGCTTTGGCGCTAATGCAGATCGATCTAATCGATTTAACAAATTCTCTTCTCTCGGAAACGCTTTTAAGTCAGCAATCAAAACTCTTAGATCGTCTCGCAAGGACCCGAATACGCCGAAGCTCCTTCGCTACCACTTAGTCAACGAGATAGAATACGGCGCTGGACCTGAATACGGCCCTTATTCGGATGACTCGGACGATAGGCCCTACTTCGACGCTCTTAAGGATCACTAAGAGCTCCTTCTTGCTGACTCCGACGCTCTCGACAATAAGGGAAACGTCGAGGCTTAAGCAAAGCCTCCTTCTTAAGCCAGCTTCGAGATATGCGATACTTCGACCTTACGAAGCTCTTTGATAGTAAAGCCATGATTATACTCGTCACTTTTATTAAGAATGGCCTTTCGTACAAGGTATCTGCTTTGCTCGATTCAAGAGCTAATAAGTACGCGCTAATTGACTTAGCGCTACTTAAATCGCTTTCTTTCTTTTTTAAACTTTTAATTCAACCCTTCCCGGCCTTATTCTTTATCAAGTCATATAATAGAGCTCGTAGAGCTACTATCTTACATTTTGCACTTCTCAACCTTACGGTTGACAAGCGCGTCTAATCTTTTACTCTTTTTCTTATCACTAATTTTAAGAATCACAGCGTGATCTTCGAACGAGCATAGCTAGCTAAGCACTAGATTCTCTTTGATTGCGCTCGCCGCAAGCTTTATTAGCTTCGTTTTAACTTTCCGACCGCCACTTACGCTAAACCTATTAAGATTATATACTTTAACTAGCGTAAGGTAAACGCTCGTCACTAATACGACGCTAATAAGCGTGATCGAGCCTTAGACCGCTTTTAGAGAGCTTACGACGCTAATTTACTCGTGAACTATGGTTCACGGGCGGATTAAGCAGCAATAATAGTCGTTGAATCACTTCTTTCTTTTCGGAATCGTCTTTTTTCCGCTTCTTCTTTTAAGATCGTTGAACCCTTTTCTTCTATTCACCTTCTCGTAGAGCCGTCACTCTTTCGCTTTACGAAAAACACCTTTTTTAAAGATTACGCTAAATCAATGTCTTAAATGAACCGTGAGCTTGTGTCAACCGATATCGCTTTTATAGAACCTTTTTTACTTGTCAAACGCTTTCGTTAAACATTTAAGCACAAAATCAATAGAAACTTTAAAATCAACGGCGTCTCCGGACACGCCTTTTATATAATCGCTCGTTAAAAAGACGTAAAACTATTCTTTACGTCCTTTTACGAGCTCGATTGCTTGATCTCCGAGCGTTAGACGATTGCTTTTACTTAAGCTGACTATTAAGCATCGCTGATACGCTTTATTAACGGCTTCATTTCTGCTATTGACTTTGCAGCGGAACTATTAAAGCTTATTAACGACCCTTTCATCTTTCTCGAATACTCCGATTACGCATACGTATTCTTTAAGGCCGCTAGCAACGTGCTAGCATCATACAAGCCTTACGACTACAAAATCGAGCTTTTCGAAGAGGGGGAGAAGGCGCTTCGGTACTTACTATTGTATAAGATGTCGATCCTTAAGCTAAAGCTTATTAAAGCTTACTTTATCGACAATCTTAACAAAGGTTTTATCGAACCTTTAATAGCGCTATTTACAGCTTTAGTCTTGTTTGCTAAGAAGCAAGACGGTTCCTTCCGCTTTTATATTGACTTCCGCGCGCTAAACAACCTCACTCGTAAAGATCGATACCCTTTCTTTTTGATTGATAAGACCTTCGCACGTCTTTTAAGAGTTAAAATTTTTACGAAACTCGATATTCGGCAAGCCTTTTATAGAATACGGATGGACCTAGCTTCAGAAGAGCTTACAACATTCAAGACACGCTACGGTGCTTATAAGTGCAAGGTTCTTCTATTCGGACTGACTAATAGACCCGCCACTTACTAACGCTATATGAATGACCTTTTCTTCGACTTCTTAGACATCTTTTGCACGGTATATTTAAACGACATCTTGATCTACTCCTCCGACTTCTTAAAGCACGCTCATCACGTTCGCTAAGTCTTTTAACGACTCGACGACGCTAGCCTTTAAGTTAATATTAAAAAATGCGAATTCAGTATAATTAAAGTAAAATACTTAAGCTTTATCATTTCTATCGAAGGCTTAAAGGTAGATCCGGACAAGACGTCGATAATAAAGCATTAAGCGCCTCTTACGACCGTTAAAGGCGTCTAAAGCTTCTTTGGATTTTATAACTTTTACCGCCGATTTATTCGAGATTACGGCGTGATCGCGAAGCTTTTAGTGCACTTAACTAAAGCTAATATTCTTTTTTCATTTAATTCTTAGTGTTAAAGAAGCTTCGACCTCTTAAAGCTCGCTTTAATTACTACGCTAATCTTATAGCATTACAACTAAGACTTCTTTTGTATGCTAAAAACTAACGCTTCCGACGGCGTAATCGCTTTAGTCCTTTTTCAAAAGCATAGTCCCGACTAGCTACTAGTCGCTTACTATTCTAAAACTATAGCTCCCGCTAAGCTCAATTACGTCGTCTACGATAAAGAGATGCTGGCTATTATACGCTCTTTTAGTAACTTCCGCGCCGAACTCGCCGGCTCTCTTTACTAGGTTCAAATAATCACCGACCATAAGGCTTTAGAGTACTTTATGACTTCCAAGACCTTTAACGCTCGTCAAGCACGCTAAGCAGAGCTCTTTTCCGACTACAACTTCATCATTACGTACAGGCTAAGTAAAGACAACCTTTTAGCTGACGCGTTGATACGTCGCACCGAAGAGCTCTTTTCTTAGAACAACTTTAAGCGCACTTAACGCTTGCAAACGCTGCTCCGCGCCGACAACGTTGACTTACGACTCTTAATCGAAGAGCTACGCTAACTTACGCCTTCGGAGACCGCCGTTATTATCGAAGAGATCGCAGAGCTCTTATCGACATTTCGAGTTATTAACCAAGTCTTAGAAGCTAATCGGACCGCTTTTAGTTTTTTAGCACTTCGAATTCAAGCTTTTAGAGCTGAGTCCTCACTCGTAAACTACGGTTCACGGGCCAAACTCATTATAAAAGGCGACCTGCTGCTTTATAACGGCCGCTTATTAGTTTCCGACGTTTAAAACTTGCGCTCGTTACTCGTTCGAAAAGTTTACGATTAAGTATTTACGGCACACTTTAGCTTCCGCAAAACTTATAAGCTCTTTGCAGTATAATACTATTAGCACGGTATAGCTAAATTCGTTAACTAGTACTGCCGCAACTGCTACGCTTACAGACGAGCTTCAATGCTTCGCGATAAGAAACCTAGCTTGCTTTAACTTCTCTCGATCTTTTCGCGCTTTTAAAAGCACGTTATTATGGATTTTTATAGCTTTAATAAAGACAAATACGGCTACGATAACGTCTTTGTAATAATCGACCGCTTCTTTAAGCAAGCAATCTCGATCTTTTATTATAAGTCTATCGATGCTAAAGGCTTCGCCAAGCTTTATATCTATTATATCTACAAGTATTTTAGAGCTCTTTTGACGCTGACTTTTGATAGAGGACTTTAATACTGGTTTAAGTTCTAGAAAGAATTCAATAAAATCCTCGGCATCAAATTGACTTTTAACACCGCCGCATATCTTAAGACTAACGGTCAGACCGAAATCTATAACTAGTACTTGCAAAAGCGCCTCCGTCCTTTCGTAAGCTACTACTAAGACGATTAGAGCGAGTTCCTCTTTATAATGGACTTCGCTTAATTGACGCTCTTTCACGACTCTTTCGGCGGCCTTTCTCCTTTTGAAGTAATTCACGGCTACGCCTTCCGGACCACCTGGAATTGGAGCTTGGAACGACTTGACGACTAAATCCCTTTTCGCAAGCTCAACCAAGACGAAGCTCGCGCTTACGCTAACCGCCACCTCGAAGCTTAAAACCTCGCTAAAGAGCACCTTTAGCGCGCTTAAGACCGCATAGCTAAACAAGCTAATAAATCAAAGCGCTCGGTTGACTTCGACGTCAATGATAAAGTTTAGTTAAATATGCGCTCGTTCCTTACCTCTCGACTATCAAAGAAGCTCGATAACTTTACGAACGGACCGTTCGAGGTTACCGACAACGTTTATAGCAGCTTCAAACTCAAGCTCTTCGAGTCAATGAAGGTTTACTTAGTCTTTTACTTCGGACGGCTACGAAAAGCTCTTAATAACCTTACCTTCGAGCAAATCATTCTTGAACCTGACTTGATTAATATCACTAGCGAACTTAAGTACGAAGTAGAAAACATTTTAGCGGTACGCTAAACTAAGAAGCACTTTGAATACCGCGCTTCTTAGCTCGGCCGCGATATTGACCTTACTTAGTACTCCGCCTCCGACTTCATGTACGCTCCTTTCAAAGTACGTGACTTCCACTTAAAACACAAAGAGCTCTTCGGCCTTTTTGCGAAGCTCTTCGAGTAGATCAAGGCCTATTCGGACGGTATTAATAACTACGATCACTTGAGTAGTGATAAGGCAATAGATGGACGCTCGAAGACGAGCTTTTTTCGGACGGGAAAGTAGTGTGACGACACGCCAAGTCTCTTGGACGCACCTTATATGCGCCAAGCTACTTCCTTCCTTTTTCCCTTCGTATTCTTCGTATTCTTCGTATTCTTCGTATTCTTCGTATTTTCTCATTCCCCGCTTTTGACCCATGAACCATGGTTTACGAGTCCTTGGCGCTTCTACTTTCGTGTATATAGACCTCAGCTACCTTCGACCTTTAC